CCTTCCACTTCCAGTCCAAGATACTGTCTGAAAAACTGTAGAGCTGCTCAAGGAAGCTGCTAATCATTACATGGAAGCAGGATCTTGAATCCAAGTATAGGTATTGCTGTTTTCTGGGTCATTGCTTGCATCTGATGATATTTCCCTCTGTCCTCTGTTTATAGTTCTGCCTATGGACATGTTATGCTAGAGTCTTCAAATAGTAACTATGACCTGTTCTCTGGTCTAGATTGTGTGGCTTTCTCTGCTAACTCAGGTTACCTCTTCTTCTCCCACACTTACATATTTATTGGAAATCCCAGTACAAATTTGTCTTCTACCCTATTCCTCCTTGTAACACTTGAACCTTGTCATACTAACCTACTCAAGCCCTAAAAGCTGTGCTCTGCACCTTCTCATCTTTTCTGTGTCATTGCATAGGATTCTTGGGTACATGTGAATCTCTTCTCTATAGTTTGCGGTTGCAGGAGCTAACCTTGGGCCTAAGACAGTCTTACAGCTGCTGATTTCACTTTGATGAGTCTGGCCATGCAAACATAAAGCGTCCAGAAACGATCTCCAAATTCTCAAACAAGGACTAGGAAAAGCTCTTGTGTTCTAACTTGCTTCACCATTCAGAGACACAGGGACAGGGGTGGACAATAAGAGGCTGTATCAAATTGCAGTTGATACATGTCATTACCTTCTCCTTTTCAAAATCCAGCCACAGGTGGAGTAAGCATGTTTCTTTTTCCTCTTCCTCCCCAGAAGGGACTTATTCCTTGGCTTACCTTTCATTTTTGTTGTTGTTTGTTTGTTTGTTTGTTTTTGTTTTTTGCAGGGTGGGGAGGGTATCAAGAATTGAACTTAGGAGCACTCAACCACTGAGTCACATCTCCAGCCATATTTTGTATTATATTTAGAGGCAAAATCTCACTGAGTTGCTTAGCACCTCGCCATTGCTGAGGCTGGCTTTGAACTTGTGATCCTCCAGTCTTAGCCTCTCGAGCCAGTGAGATTACAGTTGTGCATAAATGTACCTGGTTAGTTTATCCTTCTTAAAATGATTTTCCCTCTACACACTTCCTTTTATTTCATTTAGAAATGATCTAATTTAGTCCTCACAACAAACCACAAGATAAATACTATTATTATCCTCACATATAAAAGGTTTAGCTAGTAGTGGCACAGCCAGGATTTGGGCCCATGTGATCAAGGTTAAATTGAAGTTTAATCACAAGGCTGCACTTCTTTCTGTTAGTTGGTAAGGTGGAATGACAAAAAAAAAAAGTGAATTATGTATAAATGGTTCATTAGTTTAATATGTCAAAAATATTATTCAACATCCTAACATCCTTTGTTATTAAGGTATTAAAATGAATGAGAGGGTCTGAGAAGACTGTATAAGTCCAGAGTATGATGAGAAATGAAATAGAGAAAAAAGACGAAGGATAATGTTGCTAATTCAAACAGGAAAAAATAAATAAATTCAGTGAATAACATTGAGAAGTGGTCTCTGACTTTAACAAAAGAAAGCCCCAGTAGTATATTCATTAGTACACTGAAGTTTGAAAAGTTAGAATCTATGCCTTCTTATGGTTTCTCCCTTGTGTTGCTTATAACCTTTTTCTTATGAATTCTCTCTTCCATTTTACATATAAAATTTCCTAAGTGGTCTCTCCTATTCAGATTTTTAAAGTGATTTCCCAGTCTGTATAGATGATATAGTCGTGGTCTAATCTACAGAAATAGATTCATGATTGAGTTCTTGCCTAACATTAGACCTATATTTCTATTTCCTGACTTCACTCTACTGCATTTTATGAAAATGTGAAATTACAATATGAGTAATTTTTAGAACAGAATTTCATTATCTTACATTTATGGCCTTTACACAAAGTTATCTTTTTACCTGACTGGCATCTTCACCTGGGGACTCCTCTTGGCCTCTCCTCTTCCCTAATTATACGCAAAATCTTGTCTTTTTTACCAATGACCATTATCCTTCAGGCATCTGTCCTCTATAAAGACTTTCTTGACTTACAGATTAATTTCTGCTGCACTTTTTTTTGGGAAATAAAAGCGGGTTCTATTAATAATTTCACACAAACAGTGAGTTCACACTGGCTTGTGAAATTCAGTTACTAAATTTTAAAGTTTTGGAAGCTGGTTGTTAAGCCATTTGCTTGAAATTGACCACAGTGTTATATCATACAAATAAATACAAACATAGCACATCATTTTTATTTTCTTTTTCCTTTTTTTTTTTTGGAGAGCTATCTATTGTTATTCAGACATGAATATAAAACACTAGTATGCTAGGTAAAGCATTAGGCAAGCATTTAAGATGATGTCATGTTTTTCAACTTTTTATCTATCTTATAGGAAACTGTTTTATTGGGCTGAAAAATGTTTCCTAGCGCCTAGAATTTCAAGGGGGGAAAACACCCTAATCAAATCTGTATTCTGAAGAATTAAGTTGGTGCTTATATACGCCATCATCAACAAACTGCACGGTATAGAGCTGTGAAAATTGCAGACCTTTACAACTTGGTTGTTGATTAATGATTTAATTAAAGTAGGATTAATATAAATCTATTGGTAAGAAAGAATGCTACTGAAAGTTGGAAATATTCTGGCAATCTACCCTTCTACAGTTACCATAGAAGGTGATAATAATAGAGTGACAGTTACCAACTTCAACACTTGAAGATCTTCTGGAGGAAAGGCTGATGTTTGCAAGCTCTGCAAGAAGAAATTGAGAAGCAAGGGAATAATTTTAATGACTACAATGTATCATATGGTGTGCTTTTTAATGTGACTCAGGAAAAATTTCTCTCAGGTCTTGGCAATAGGCAAAGTTAAATTCTCTTAAGTAATTGCTTTTTTTTAACTTTATGTACTCTATGAATGTTGGATCCAATCCTATTTCATTTTTTTATCTGACAGAAGAGAGATCAGAGCTTTATTTGGGTCCTAAATAACTAATGTATGGAAGGATGTACACATAAGTCTGGGTGCTAATCTAAGCCCTCCGTTTACTCTTCTCCCATCTTCATTTCTCTTTCATCACACTCTTTCAACCTGATTTCTCCTCCTGTGGACTATGTATTTTAGTAGCATTCTTGTTCTGAAATGGGTTATAAATAAATAACACAGACAGGAAATGGCACCGACCTGGTTCTTGAAAACAGTTGCACATGGAAATCTTGATTGTTTCAAAGGAATACTGTGCTCATCATTTCAGTTTCTGCTAAGAAAAGTTCTAGGACACTTATATTCAAACTAATTTTTGTAGTTATGAAAATTGAAACAGAGTTTGAAATCTCATCAGTGTAATCTAGAAACAAAGGAATAATAAAGCTAAAATTTATTCTCAAGTTTCCCCTATAGTTACAAACATTAGGAAAGGAATGAATAATGACCTAATGATGACTCAGAACCCAAATTATTTCAGCCCTGAATATGTCAGCCCTCGTCAAAATTCTTAGCAAGAATATGGTATTAACTGAATGATCCTATTTAGATACTCATTTCTAGTCTACACTTATTACTCACCAGGTAACTTATGAGAATTATATCCCATTACATGTATTGGTATAAGTAAGTCTCTAAAATAATTTAAAAAGGCATTTAGTATGCTTATCTTACTTTTAAAAGTCATACTTTTATGGCACCTGGAATATATAATTTTAGGTTCCTCTACTCAAAAAATTAAAACCTGTCTGAATTTTATATTAATTTATATATGTAAATGTATATATACCTATGAAAAAATGCACTATCTTATGTGGGAATAGTATGAATAAAATATGTCAGTATTTACATTATGAATAAAATATTATATGTAAAAATAATATTTTGAGATTAATGCACTATTATGTTCATGAATTTTATATATTACTAAAGTAATGTAAATGTATGTAGACTTTGGTTTTTATCATTCATTTAAGCCTGCTAAAATTCTTCTTTTTTCCACCCTCATTATACTATAACTGCTATTTTGATAAATATCTTGTCTTGAGTTTGATAAATATCTTGTCTCTTTCATACCAAACTTCAAAAAAAAATCTTTGTTATTTTGATACATTATTATTATTATTGTTATCATCATCATCATCATCATCAACATCATCATTAGTTTTGAGTTCCAGGGACTGAACCCAGGGGTTCTTAAACCACTGAGCCATATCCAAGCCCTTTTTATTTTTATTTTGAGAGATACAGTATCACTACTTTGCATAGGGCTTTACTAAGTTGCTGTGACTATCTTTGAACTTACAATCCTCCTTCTTCATCCTTCTGAGCTGCTGGCAGTACAGGCACGCACCACCACAACTTTAAAGGTATATTTAAGGTGTTTAAGTTGAAATGTGTCATATCTGATGACAGGTGTCAAAGCATTCTGCTGGATCACAGATACAAAGTCCCAAAACAGTCCTCCTTGTAGCCTAGCTTCTCACAGTGCTTTTTAGCACTGCTTTTCTTATTTTAAATTGATCAGAGGCATAATGAAGAAGAAAGAGGAGGAGGAGGAGGAGGAGGAGGAGGAGGAGGAGGAGGAGGAGGAGGAAAGGGGAAGGGAAGTGGGGAAGGGGGAAAAGGGGGAGGAGAGGGAGGAGAGGGAGGAGGAGAAAAAAACTATAGATTCCTTTTATTTCTCTTTAAAGGCATATACCTTTATTAGTCCCATAGAATAAAAATGATACTTCCTTATAATTTAAATTATCTACTATGTGAATTGGTTAATGAAATCTACTTTAGCCATTTAGGTAAAATATAAAAATGCGGGCAAATCTGTGAAAGACAATTCATGGTAAATTTATAACCTTTTCTTTTTATATACCATCAAAGAGCCAGCAAATACAAGCTTAGATTAAATATCTGTTTTATTTCTTTGCCTTGGAGATGTCTATATTGCCATTTTACAATGAGATGAATGTTAAAATGGTTGACACAATAGGACATATTATAAAATGGTAGGGTGAGAACTCATTCACTCTATTTAATAAAATGTTTTTGTTAAATTTATTCAAGGAGGTGTGCTGGCATTGGAAATACATGGATAAATAAAATTCTGATCTACAATAGGTAGAACAAAAGGGTAAAGTGGCAAAAATTCTCTATGTTTAAAATGGTTTAAGATTATTTATTTTAAAAGACAATTGAAATTGTTGTATCATTAGCAGTATTGGGAAGATAGAGCTGCATGTATCCAGGAAAGGGAGCTCACATTTAGGAGCACATTCTCACTCTTTCTAGAACTTGGTGGCTTAAGTACATGAGTGAAATGGAAAAAGAATAGAATAGTTAGGAGCTTTAAAATATACTTCTAAACATCACAAGGTAAGAATATACAGAGAAGGGTTTTCTTTTTATTGTGAAACTGAAATACAAAACAATGGTTACTGATTTTATCCATCTGACACAATAATGAGGAATCATTTTTTTCAAATGCAAATTTATTTTTGAAACATTGTGTAATGCATTTTAACTTAAACTTTCTAATCCATATTCTTTATGTAATAACATAATATTTGTTAAGGAAGAACCGGTGTTTAGATAAAGAAATTGAGGAAGCAGTGGGTAGGCTAATAATTTTTCAAACTATAGACAATGTTCAATTCTTTCATACATGTGCTTAACTTACCATAAACTTAAAATAGTTTATAATGAAAAAAAGTACCAATCCAAAACGAAAGATTGTGATTATAAAGATCAAGGCCAATTAATGAAAAAACACAATTAAAAGGTAAAACAAATTCACATATCATTTGAAAATAGGGAGAAACTATCAATAAAAAATAGAGGTCCTCAATACTATTTTGAACCTATCCCTCAGCCTTATCGATGTGTTATTTGCAGGCACCTATAGGCATCTGCCCTGAGAATAGATTATTAGCACTTTCTGCCTATTTTACTAGTTAATTGAAGTGGTATATAAGACCCACTTATGGTATAAAGTGCAGACGGTGAATGAAGAAGAACAAGAGAAAAAGCAAGAATTATGAAATAACAGAAAAAAAAGTATCTTCCTTCAAGAATCAATCGTCAATTATTTCTGACTCTACAATACATAAATGTTATTAACAGTTCCTTAATAGTAACTACCATGACCATCTGGAAGAACCTACTTATGGTAAGTAACATGTTTTAACATCCCTGTTACAATTTGGTTTAATAACATGAGCAACATATAGCATAAAATTCAAGGCAAACTTTTTTTATGTATTCAACAAAGATGCTTTTGGCCAACCTATAGTTGCAATTCTATGACAGCTGTCAGGGATATTAATTAATAGAAAAGATAAGTCTAGAAACAAAGGTCAACAAATATGATTTGATGGTTATTGTGTGACAAATGACTGTGTCTTCTTGACCAGATATACTCCTTCTTCCTCACCTGTCCTTTAATGCCCATAAGACCTCCTGAATCAATGGTTTTAGCAATATTGTTTTTATATCAGGCTACTCTCATCAGTGATGATCTACTATTTCTTTTGCATTATTGAAAGCTGGGCTGATTAAAACTAAAATGAATTCCTATGCCCTTCTAGGAAAAATAACCATAAATTTCCTTATAAATATTTACATAGAAAGGTCATTTATATTCTTAAGATTAAACATACTTGATAATTTCCCCTGTGTTCCACAATTTTAATCCTGAGTCAAGGATTTATAAAATAGTGAGAGTTTTATCAAAGTAACTATTCAAATGGTTCAGATTTATTTAGTTAGTATTAATTTCACTGCCCTCCATCCTTTCCCCAAAATATAATGACCAAATATTTTATTTGGTTGATCTGTGTAAATACTGCTTATCTTTGCACTGTCTCCAGTAAGGTATAGATTAACTTCATGATCAATTTTACTAAAACAATCATTTCAAAAGTTCTGAAATATTTATGATTAAATAGCTTATAATATTTGCCTATTTCCTTGTTAAAAAGTATGCCAGAAAATACAATGGCATCTCATCTGTCAGGATATTAGTCTTCTGCCAACATCATATTTCCAGAACAATGTCCAGATTCCAACAGTGATCAAAGAACTCTTCTGAGAATCACAAAGCTTTTGCCCAAATCTACATACCTTATTCCTATATCAGACTTAATAAATTTTTAAATAACAGTAAACAAGAATAAAACACAAACTCTCCCACCAGTATATTAGAAATTGCAAATAGAAGAAAATTTTTGAGAAAAGCATAGCAACAAGTTAAATTTTATAGCCAAAATTTGAAGGAAAAAATATGTAAAGCTATATGGAGAGAATATTTGGAATACTGGTTGAGATGACATTGGAACAGAAAACAAAAAATACTAAGTTATATTCAGTGACCTGATTGGGCTCATAGGGAGACAAGATATGCTTAATCTAACTTCTACATAAACTATTTTATAGTAAAAACAATTGTTTTGGTGATTGAACAAGTAAGCCCTGGAGTTCAATATTACAGATCATTGGTTCACAAAATTCAATGTGCATTCAAATCACCTTAGGATCTTGTGAAAATGTGGATTCTTGTTTGAGAGGCCTGGGGTGGGGGCATGATTCTATATTTCTAACAAGCTTCTATTAATGTTTATAGTTTTTTTAACAAGGGTGTAAAAATGCATTGATTTCTAATTAAATTAGATAAATGAGATGTTATGGTATTTGTCTTCAAATACTTCTGAAAATCTGAAATGAAAGCATACTAGTAATATATGTTGGCACATTTATGTAATACACTTTGGAAATAAGGAAATTGTATTTTAATGTGTGAAATATGTAAGAGGGGTATAAATAATAATGCATTATTCAATCCTTCAACCATATACTAAGCATGCATGAAGTAATGTAAATGAAATCTGTGCAAAATTTGAGGTGAGCTATATCTCTATCATACTAAGTCATAGTCAATAGAATTCTGAATTCTCTTAAACTATATTATTTCATCTTTCTACATCTGGAGGGTATGCAACACACAAGGCAAGTTTTTCTAAAAGAATAATTTATTGTAGTTTCTATTAATGGTAAAACTCTGTGCTTTGTTCAGTGGTGAAAAATTAACAACTGTTCTTTGATTTAAAAAAAAAATGCCCAGGCAATCATTTTCTGGCTCTGAACTACAGCCACATAAATATGTGCATCAAAATAGTCTATAAATAAACCAGAGCTGGGAGAAGTTAAATATAATAATGCATTTGAAGTTATGGATTTATAGCCTTTGTAGGCATTTCACATATTATATAAATTTGTGACTCTGCCAAATTCTTTTCTGCTGGGTTCATAAAATATTCATGTCCAGTGACATTAATGTGAGACTTTTCTGGCCTTACCATGACTTCCACACTGAAATTGTGATTCTAGCTGCAATATTGCCTATTTGACCTTTGCCACTTCTCAGTAAGCTTTTACTGAGGGTGAGAGACTGTTTTGTTGCTCCAATTATTTAATTTCCAGTAGCTAAACCAAATGATCTACAAAGTATAATATGGATAATGTATTTTTAGGGGGAACCAAGTAAAATTGTAAATTAAAATTTTTTAAAAAGATATGACCTGAAGTGTTCCGTGTTTCTTCAAAGGTGTATATGTGTGTGTGTCTGTGTGTGTGTGTTAAAATCTGTAAAATTTTAAAATGGATAATAAGAAAAGTAAACTCATGATTCAGAATAATTTACAGGTGATTTTCACCTTTACTACTTTCATTTTTAAAAAAAACCGGGATAATATAGACAACAATTGTACAAACCTGTTACCTATAAAAATCCTCTTAATATTTTCCCTATTTGCCTATAGAAAATAAAATTGTATGTACTGAAAAATGTATTGTGAAGTTAGAAATGAAGCACAATTTGTGTTAATTAACAAAATATGAATGATTACTTAGTAAATTATGTGTTTATTAAAATGAAAAATAATTCAAAACCCAACAAAATAGCTAAATGTTTAAATGATGTGTTTTTAGTGAATCGATTCTGTCCAAAAAGATTTTCTGGGAAAAACAATTAATTGATACAAATGTGAGTGCAAATCTGTCTGTTTTTTTAAATTTTAAAGCATATTGTTCAAAGTTTTAGCTTGTGTGCATGATATAAATCCCATACATTGTTTTCTCAGTGACAATAAAAAGCACAGTTCATTAAAAACTGAAGTAAAAATTAAAATAACTTTTAAAAAATCAGTCACAGTTTTGTCATTGGTATATGGAGGTTGTTCCAGGGACCCATCCAAAGCTCTTCATCATCTGACTGTGTGTGGTCACTATGGAATTCCAAAGTCTCCTTGATGTTCTTATTGTCAACCATGGACTCCTGTTCCACTGTGCTTTTCAGCCTGTTCCCCAATGACTTTGCTGCTGTACTGTCAGTTACCACAGGGCAAGGGGCAAAGGTAACCAACGTTGGTCTTTTGTTCATTTTCTCAGTAGAAAATGGCCCCCTTGACAATGTGTTCAGAGGTACACTCTCCTCATGTGTCACTGCCAACTTCTCTAATTTCTTAAAGTGCCTCCCCTGACGGACAGGGGAGGTAACTTTCAAGTTATCAGTGAGGCAGGCACGGCGGGTTCTCACCACAGAACCATTCTGTGCAATATATATATTGCCATTGATATTACTGTGGATCTTAGCATTGTGAAGACGGTTTCTCTGACATTCCGGAGCACTGTCTTCTCCAGTTGAACTAGTTTCATATTCTCGATCAACAACTAACTTGATCATTCTCTTTCTTGCCCACTGACAAAATAAAAGGAAAAAAAAAAGTGTTAGTCATTATCAAAGGAGTGAAAGAGACAAAGAACACAATGCCTGTGAAATTTTAAAAAGTGTTATGTAGAAAGTTATCAAATGTAAATAAGTCAAGAGGGGTACAAGGAAGCAACTCTTTATTCACGTCAGTTTAGTTTCACAAATTCTTAATTGGCTTCACAACATGATATATTTGAATAAAGTGTTGCTGAACTAGGAAGCAGACATTCCAGGAAACACATGCTCTTAGATCAAATTACTATTCTACATGAAAAGAAAACTATATTATTTATATTTAACTTAGGAACTAATCCATTGTTTTGTAGTTGCCTTACTATTCAGGAAAGTTAAATTGGAAGCATTGAACAGCAGTAGATTATTCAATTCATGTTAAAGTTTCTATTCCCCATATTTGAAAAATGGTTTTTAAATCCAAAGTTGCTTATTTATGCAATGCCTGCTAATTTATTCAATGCCATTAGCCAAAATTTTGTATGTTTAATGCATTCATTCACTTGAAATGTCCTGGTTTTCTGGGTCATTCCATTCAGATGTTGTTAACTTAGAAAATATATTCCCAGATTGCATAATTTATTTAGTATTAGTACACAAATTATTCAATAGTACATAAAACTGAAAGCCAATTATTCTAAACTTTCCTTTGGCAAGCAACAGAAACACAATGGAAATTTTCACCAATTATTTGTCTCTTTCCAATTAACATTAGAAAGGGCAGAGGGCAAAGGTTGAACTGTTCTATATTATTTTCTCAAAGAAGCCTTATTACATTTTTGGACTGGGTGAACTATCAATGCTTGGCACTGAGTCAGTCTATTTCAAAATTATTATGTTTACTTGCTCAGATAAAAAAATATTATGACTCCTACAATATGGTTTTAAACAATCCAGTTCAGAATAATGATGTTAACATTCGATTTTTCACATTTTATCTTATTTAACTTCTAACATTTGAAAGTGGCAGCTACAAACCATCTCTCCATGTAGCTATTTGATCCATTCCAACAGATTATGTATCAATCTATTCTTATCTATATATAAAATTCATTCCAACAGAGAGATGTCAAATACATAATGCCATATTGCATAATAAAAATCCTGCTGAAAAAATAGTAAGCATTGACTAGCTAATTACATGTGTTCCTATTTACTAGTATAGGAAATATTAGTGGGTTTTAATCTAATATAGTCTAATATACCAATTTCTTTGGATATCATGTATCGCTTTTCTGGCAAGCTTCTGATCTTAAGTCAGATCAAAATCATGGTCAATTAACTGCCCTTAAAGAGTCATTTCGGAGAACACACAGAAGGCACTGCACGCAAGAGCACTCATCACTGCAAAAGTCCCACCTACTGTTCTCTCTTCTAAAGGGCTGTGTTGTAACCTTCAGAGTTTGCTCCTGGAGACTTCCTTTGGTTTGCCTTTTTGCTTCTGTCATAGGCTGGCACCTGAAAGCCCCAGGGACCTCCGGACTGACTTTCGCTACTACTACTACTACTACTACTGCCTAATTCTGATTCCTCTTCACTTTCTATGCCTCCTTCCACAGAAGCTGATTCTGCACTGCCCTCCTCAGGGACATCCTGAGCGTCAAGGTCTGCAGATTCTTCCACAGGGGCCAGGTCACTTTCTCCTCCTAGGTGTTCCTCCTCCTCTTCTACAGTGGGTTCTTCTTGATCTTTGGGTGGCTCCTCTCTTCTACCTTTGACTTCCTTGACTTCCTCCACGACAGGCTTCCTTCTTGCAAGCACAATGTTTCTTCTAGCTTTTTCTCCTTCTGACTCTGTGGATTCGGATTCTTCTGATTCTTCAGTGGAACTCTCCTCCTCCTCAGAGGGCGTCTCAGACTCAGATTCTTCTTCTGTGGTCTCGGATTCACTGAACTCAGATTCTTCTTCACTGTACTCAGTATAATCGCTGGAGGATTCCTCCTCTGATTCTACGGTGCTTTCTGTTGCTTCATCTTGGTCTAGAGTTAGTTTCAGATAATCTTTATCCTCTTCCTCCATGCGTCTTTGCCACTCTTCACCCTCAAGGTCAACGACGCCTCTTTTATCAGCTAGTCCTCTAACTTTCTTAAAGATCATGGGGAATATCCTGGCCCTCTTCCATGTTGTGTATGTGGGCTCCGCTGCAGGTGGCTTTTCAATAGTTACTACCACTTCCTCCTCCTCCTCACTAGGCTCTCTAATTTCAACTTTTGGTTTTGTAATTTTCTTTGGCTTTTCCTGAAAATTGTGAGATTGCAATTGAAGTGTCAGTGTGAGGATAGCTATGGTATGATCTTGTTCCATGTCATGTATAAAGTAGTAGGAAAGAATATGCTGGGTGATAACTGTATAAACTGTTTTACTTTTGGCTATCTAGGAAAATCTAGTGATATATCATTTTTTTTTAATTCAAAGGTTTTTTTTTTTTTTGCATTTAGATCAAGAAAGAAATAGCCACTACCTCTTTCCTTTCTATCTCTAGATTTTGGCAATAGCTTCTTGTGTTTCCCTTTAGCTAAAGTCTACAAAGAATCTTTTAAAATCATAAAAATACATTAGTTTATCTGAAAGTTTACATAAAAATTGGCTATTTTCTTAAATTTTGAACAGGTTAGGCGTACTGTGCCATTCATTTGTTATTACTGAGGGGGACCTCTGCCAAATTAATAGTGTAGGCAAAGAATTTGATAAAATTGGTTCATACTAGTTTAGGCATGATTACATAATTTTCTCAGATATGTAGGTAGAAATAATTTATCCTTCTCCAATGATTGAAAGATGGAGACCATTTTTCATGATTTTTAGATATGCTAGACAGTGTAGGAACAAAAGTAGACATTTTATTGTATGTTTTTAAACACATTTGATTTTGTATTATATATTTGATTATATATTATGTTCATGGAGCAATATTTACAATTTTAGGAAACAAAATTATTGTAGCTTTTTCCAGATATTAACAGTTTATGGAAGGAAACAGATTAAACTATTAAAATTAATTCTCTCCATAGATAAAGTAATAAAATGACCAGCAATGTTAAATTTCTGTGGAAAACAAGTGGTAAATGAATAGTATTTTTTAAAGGTGGAAATAGTCTCTATACTGGTAGTCAAATAGAATTTAAAATGTTGTTCTTCAATATCATCCCACATAATGGAATTATAGTAACTTACCTCTTCCTCCTCATATTCCTCCTCAGCTTCACCAACCACCTCACCATATTCCTCCTGTCCAGCAGGTGGTAACAATCGACGTCGACTTCCATATTGAGGCATTTCATACCTGTAAAAGAAACTAAAAACCTTAAGTACTTTTTTCCTGCGGTATATGTAGAATCTACCATGAATGATCTCTCTTTTCTTCTTTTTCTTCACCATTCAGTCTACAGATATTATATAGCATCTATTAGGCTCCTTTTAAATTAGCTACAAAACCATAGGGTAAGAACTACTACCTGATGACCAAAGATTTTTGCCATAATGGTACCCTGGAATAACAATAAAGAGAGTTGAGTTATTTTAGATATAAGTTTTGAGAGAATAGAATGAGAAAAAAAGGCATAATGCTCCTTAATGAAGTGAATAATGTAGGACACAAAATATGTTCCTTCTGAAAGTATAATAGCTGATTCAGAACGTGAAGTCTACATATTTATACTGAAGGTTTTTTCAAACATGGTTGACAATGGAGATACATTCTTCTGTTGCATTCCTTTAAGCAGTGAAGTGTACATGTGGAGAAATAACATTTGAAATACTTGTTATTGGATTCTTAAGTATGTTTTCCACCTTATAATCATTTTTGAGCAAAACTTTACCTAGACTGGTTTAAAAAATGTTAAGCATGTCACATAAAGATAAAGGTGAACTTAGGAATTGAGCAAATATGTTTGATTTTATTTCACATTTAAATAAATATGAATAATTTTAATACATTTCTAAAATTACAATATATGCCAAATAGAAAAATGCTTAAAATTTGATTGAAATTAAAGGTAGATACATTACTCATTTTCAAACATAAAACTAATGAAATGACTTTGAAATAATAAATGCTAGCAAAAAAATCAATAAATGGCTTCCTATTATTTATAAATACTATATAAGATTCTGAATAAAAAAAATCTGAAGATGTACCCATGCTCATAACTGTAATAATCTTGTCCATATTCCTGGCCAGGATCAATTCCAGACTCCATGGATAACTCCTATTGTTCAAAAAGAGAAATTGCATTTGAAAACAAATTCTTATCACAGTTCAGCTCGAAATAAGATTTCCACACCTAGAATTTGACGATTCTGAAAATACACCTGCCAAATTAAAAGTGTTATTTAAACATGTTCCCTTTTTGTTTGTTTTCTGGCCACAAGTACTCACAAAAAATAAATAAATAAATAAGATTGTATAATTAGACTTTACTTAAAGGAAAAGGAAGTAACTTTTCCTAATTAAAAATCTCTTAAAATTTTCAAATGAGTATTTTCACTTATTCCTGAATGTCTTTTAAAATTACAAATAGTTAAACTTAACTGTACCTTCAATTACATTATTAACAGCCTTTGGAATTGACAAAAATTATAACATATCTGTAGCATGTTTTCATCTTTCCACCAATGGTTTTCCGCTATTCTCCCATATATTTAAACTCTTTATCTAAAATTTTTTGATAATAATAATTTATACACTAATAAGAATCTGAGTTACTGTGTGATGTCTCCCAAGGATGTTGACATTTCAAGGCACTTAATGCTACTTCTGGATTTAAGACTTTTAAAAAAAAAATGTTTTACTTTGAGACAGGGTCTTGCTAAGTTGCCCAAGTAGGCCTCACTTTGCCCTCCTCTTGTCTCAGCTTCCTGAATGGGAAGCTAGAATTGCAGGTATGCATTATTACACTGGCGAAGGCCTTATTTAAAGGAAGGGATCCTGTCAACATTTCTACTTCTAAACTCCAGATTATACTGATTTTTTTCAACTATGTTCTTATAGAAATATTTTTTCCTGAGGAATATATATTAGAATAATTTTCAACAACAATTAAATGATAAATGTAACTTCCTTATATTTGCCTTTTTAATTCTGTTTTGACATGTTAAGCAATGACTAACCAAATTAAATTTGCAATAGAATAAGAGGATGAAAAAGCATAGCTATCTACAGGAAAATGTGTTGATATTTACTTAAGATTATACGCTATTCCTAAGAATTAATTTCCTTAATGCAAGTGTACTAATGAGATAGGAAAAATTGCCCTTCTCTGATGCCACAAATACATCACTTAGGAAGTGTGGAAATTGATACCCTGCATGATAAGTATAGATAATGACTTTTAGTTTTGCTAAGATTTGCCAAGCTCATTTAAAAATATTGAATTATTTGCCATCAACCCTTAGAGAATGCCACCGAAAATATGGGTTTTTGTTTTCTCTTGAAAAGCAGAAAGAGGGCAGCACAAATACCATAGTTCTACATGTCAAAGATCTAGATGGTAGTATGATAACTTCCAGCAAGCATATTCTCTTTTGGTTACTACATCATGCCCAACCATATTATTCAACCGCACTATTCTACTATACCCATTATCATCTTAAATTTGCCACCTGCCTTTGTTTTGCATCTAATAAACTGCATTCTCTGATTCCTATAGTTATTTAAAGTTTGTGACTGTTCTGCTCTACTAATATGCTACATAACAACTTTACAGTTCACAAATACTTTGAACCAAATGCAGAGATATTCAATCATGATGTTAAAACTAGATTAGTTTGCCCATCAAAATTACAGAAATTACAAATAATAATAATAAGCAATACTATGTGTTGGGAGGAACGTGGGATAACTGGGACCTTTATACAATTCTAGAGAGATGATAAATTGGTAAAACCCTTGGGAAAATGTTTGTCAATAATAGTAAAATATATGTATATATTTTTCAAATAAATTCAATTTATAATTATATACCCAAGAGTATTATGTACACTTGTGCACCAAAATGCATTATTCATGACAGCAAAAAATCAGAACCAATGCAAAAGTCCATGAGCTAAATACACCACAATACAGGTGAATCTCTCAAACAGAATGATCAGCAAAAGAGGTCACATGCACATAAAACATACTGTATTATTCAACTTGTATGTTCAAAAACAGACTAATGTGTGTGCTACAAGCCAGTTGAGTGATTAGGAGAAGGGAAATCAGTATCTGGATGTCAACATAAAGGAGCTTCTGGAGAGCTGTTAAAATGTGTTTGGGCATTCTTAATATGTAACCATATGAAAGGATTTGCACTTCTTTGTAGCTACAGGATTTATTTCAACAATAGCAACAAAAAATAAGAAGCAGGAAATGGGATTGGATTAAGAAATAACAGTAAGAAATTAAAACAAAGTAATAGTGTAGATTTAAGTTGTTCAAACTAAAAAAAAAATTGAAAAAAGGTAATGGTGACACAATGGTAAACTTACATTTTTGAGTCATCTAACAATGTAATACTTTCATTCTTTTAAAATGCAATAAGACTCAGAATCAATACATTTATACTTCTTGACCAATGTGTCTTTAATGTAATATACATAGATTAAGACTTTCAAGTGGTTTTAAAGTGGAATTTTAATAAATTTTGATAATAATATAGGGACATGTTCTTTTTTCCTAGAGAGAGAGTAAGGCTCAGCTCTTCCTAACTACATTATATATCCAGCATCAATTACTTTGAAAATGTAATAAAGCAGAGACAAGACTGGCATAGGAGCCCAAGAAACTCAGCAAGAGAGTCTTGACTCAGTCAGTCACTCTGCAGTGACTTTGCTGGAAAAAGAGGATAGAAATTAACAGAAAAGAGTGACTTGAACTATGCCTTTTGAATGCTTATACAGCTCATGAATGAAGAGCAGAGAAACATCACTTCAAAAAAAGAAATAGAGAGCTGTGCGCTGTGGTGCATACTATCAACACCAGTGAGTCAGAAGGCTGAGGTAGGAGGATCCCAAGTACAAGCATAGACTGAGCAACTTAGCAAGACCCCGTCTCAAAATAAAAATTACAAAATACTAAAGATGTAGTACATGTAATAGCATTATCATGCCACTGGGTTTAATCCCTAGTACTGCAAAAACAAAAAGAAGGGGAGGGGGGGGAAGCGAAGGGAAAGAGACAGAGAGAGGAAAAGAGAGGAAATAAAGAAACTGGGGAAGGACCTAGTGACTGGTAAGACCCCTGAATTGACCTAAAAATACAATGGAATGCTCCTCCTCTTTATGTACCATGCAGTCTCTTTTAGCATCTCTTTAGTTGGGAAATACTGAATTTTAGAAAATCATGCAAAATAATGTACTAAAAATGATTTTATGGGTAGATCAAACATTTAATTTTATTTTAAAAATTAATTTTTGTTGTTGATCAGAGAATATAAAGTTTATTTGGATCTTATTATTATAAACATCTATGTAAACCAAAAGAACTATTGTAACTATCATTTATTGAATTTCATCCTGCTACATTCCAGTTGCTTAACTAGAATATCATATATTGGACATTACTACCAACATTTTTTAGAATATGAAATTGATGTTCAGGAGGATGCATATCTTGCAGGGGTTTTACAGTTAATAATTGGTGTTTAGACTTTAACCTTGAGTTTTCTGATTCTATATTCTGGGAATTCTTCTCTTCATGTAAATTTTTGTTAAAAATCTTTAAAACCTGGATATCCCTGCCACCCAATCTCCAGATTATGAAGACTAAATTCTAAGCAAGAAATGCCTCTCTTTAGAAAAGGTAGGATTCTGTTCTAAAGGAAAAGGACTAAAATGTTTATAAATGTAGCTTATAAAAAAAACTAAATTTATCACAAAGAAAAGTATTTTAAACTAGCCCTACATTATTTTTAATTTTGGCAATATATAGACATGTTATTATACATAAATAATATGAATTTATTATATAAACTTGAAAATTTTTTTCACATTTCAGGAAAAAAAAATCACAGACACTGTGCAATACACATGTGCCCAAAGACAGTATTTTGAATCAGGACAGATGTCAGCATTCTTTCTTTAGATTTTGCCTAATTTAGGTCTGACTTCAAGCATGGATCTGTTGAATCTCCATATACTTAGGTAACTACTGATCAGATTCATGAATTGCTTCATTCAATGATGGCTTATTTTTAATTTTTATTTAGTTTTTTTTATAGACCTTTATTTATTTATATGTGGTGCTGACACTCAAACCCAGTGCCTCACACATGCCAGGCAAATACACTGCCACTGAGCCCCAGC